GATGGAGCTACAAAGAGATCAATACTGAATATTGAAAGGGCACAGCACGATTAACTGTCCCGAGGAATTTGAGCTCGACGTATTGAATACTTTTTGTGCGACGAGGGTTTAAAAGCTCAAAAGTTTACAAAGAATGTATGAGCTCATCAGCGCTTTTTCCACACAGAAATTTTGATGTTTTTGAAAGCCAATTTCACCTCGAAAATTACACCCAAAGAGCCAAAAATTTCACCACTTACTAAGTTTCACAAGCTCTTTAAGTTTTTCAGATAAAATCGTGTCTAGCATGATGCCTTCTATGCGCGAAGTCGTATGTTAATGAGGAAAAATGTAAACAATGACGTCAGCGAAGATTCGCCTATTAGGAGAGGCCAGATCAACGTGAGAATTTTCATACTCTTATCGAGTCGTTTCGGATGGACAGCTCAGTTTTGACTGCCGCTCGTACTGCGGGCACATCAACCATATGCAAGGGATTTATCCTTACAGCAACCTATGACACCTATGGCATAAGAAATTTCTTGAATATCAATGTGGAATGCAATTTTTCACCGCAAAATCTAGCCATATAATAAGCCATAGCATAATATAATTGTACCTTATTGGCCGATAACGCTACCAGGATAAAATGTAATATTAAACAAGAGAGGTCGAAGACAGATCGACATGACTCAAAAACAAATGTCTACAAAATGTGCGGCGCCAGCTAAGAAACAGGAGTCTGTTGCTGTACAGTTGTTCTGAACAAAATAAAACAACAAAGCCACCCGGGAGCCCGGGAGGGCGGCTGTAACACAGCCTAACTGTTTTGTTGTTTTTGTTTTGTTCTGTTTGGGGGAAATGTAGACTTTGTCCGGTTTGACTGATTCCGGCGGGAAATTTGTTACATGTACTACTTTGAAAACCACTTCTTCATCTGTGGGAAGCTGAACGTTATATATATAAAAAAAAAAAAATTAGAGGTCTCTTCTCGGTCATTTTCATTTCTTTGGTCTTAGGGACCGTCGACATGTCAAAGTGTCGACACCCCCTTACCTAGCGCTGTACGATTGATGGTCGATTTCACAATTCTTGTGACATTTATTGACAGCCAACAGCTTGGCTCCGCCCACGCTGTGCGTAAACATTTAAAAATATATATCATTTATCACTGTTTATGCTAGGGAACTGTTTATCCGTTTTGCTATAGAATTCTAAAAAATATGCATGGAGGGAACATCTCGAGTACGGCATCAATCTGGGGTGAGGATGTCGTATTGCAATAACTTGATGTCAGTGAAGGAGGCGACTGAAAGGAATGATGTACGATATTTCACGAATTTTTACCGATTCAGGAAGTGTTTAGTTGGTTCGCTATAAAAACATGTGTGATCTTGATGCAAATGAGCTCTCCTGACAGTTACTAAAATGAATGAGTTTCCACGGGCATTGCATTTTGAAAATAGAAATTATTTGAAATTTGCAAATATTTCACTGTGAAGAAAATGAAAATATGATGCCACTTTTGACCGTTTTCGATCTTAACGCTGCTAAGCTAAGAAAGACAAAGAAAATTTAGGTTTTTCTGTTGAATGTAAAGTTTGCTAAAATTGCTGATGAGCCGATGTTTTTAACAGCTAAGTGACCAATAAATTCGCTGAAATTTTCTTATTTTTGTGTCACGGTGGTCAACGAATCACATAAACAACGTTCTTTTATCGAAAGCGGAAACTTGCTCTGTTATGGGTTATAATATCAGTTTGAAAAGGAAGAACGTCGAAACTGCAATATTAAAATAAAATTTTACGTGGAACACATCTTTTAAAAAATTCACCGCGCTCGTGACCAAAAAAGCACTTCGTAATATTGAGAACTTTTAGAAAGCTTGTTCGCCAATTAGGTTTACTTTTTTGTGATTCAATTCCTCATCTCGTTGTACATCAAATTTAACCGTACTTCGTAATATCATTTACGCAGTTTAGAAATCGAAGCGGAAGGGTCTATTTTGATGGCCAAAGAAAAAGCAACACTGCTCGCGATCTACATCGAAGGAAAATGTAAACAAACGAAGCAAATTATGAAAGTTTATTTGGTAATATATTCATGGGAGCATTTTTCCGTGTAATTTACGTTTTTGTCCACATTTATGTCGTCAATTTTGTTTCAGGTTGGAAGTTTTTATTTAAGCTCGTTTTTTTTAGGTGTATTTTTACTGCAGTTCTAACCTCATTTTGCGTGCGGTCTAGAAGAACAAACCGAAGAATGACACTTGACAGATGTTCCTCACGTGCGCTAAGCTGCATTCTGATTGGCTGAGAAACTGACCTTTCTTAAGAATACGGGTTGAGAGATCTTAGGATAAAATGGCGCGACGCAAGAATTTGGTGTGTGTTGAACAACTAACAAAAGCGAATAAATAGGTGTTTGTTTTGACAACGTATTCGTGGAGAAAAGAACGTTGTAGTAGAGTGTTGTCCGTTTTTTTAAAAAAAGACATTCTGTTTCGTGTATTTAGAAACGTTAGCCGGAACTCCAGCGCACTTACCATGGCCACAAGCTATGGCTTGTGTTCATCTATTCATGTGGATTTCAGGTACTTTTAGATGTAGACATGTTGTCTTTTATGTTTAATAATTTACGAGGAGAGTTTTTAGCGAATTGTGACTGGCGGAGACCGACCAGGTACTCGCCAGTGTTTTCGCCGCTGCCCTATCGCGAGGCTTAAAAACTTCTCTAGTTGAAAAATAAATTACGCTAGTAATTCTTTTCTCGGCTTAATTTTTTTACCGTCAACACGGAATTAACACTCGGAAAAAAAATAAACGTTTAAAATGGATTATTTCTATTAAAATACTTGCAGCGAATGATCACGAAAACGTCAGTTGGAAGAAATCGCGAGCAAATACTGAGTACAACCGTGTTTAGAGTTACACTTCAGCACGAAAATTAGACAAGCAGATCCGAGAAACGCTAGTGTGAAATATCGCGCGTATACTTCCGGTCGCGGTATATAATTCCAATGATAAACTAAGGTTGCCTAGCATTTTCGACCCATCTCGCCCGTGATGACATGTGAAAGAGAAAAATAATTGGAAAAGTTAGGGAAAACATAGTTACAGAATTCATTTCGAAGCAGTGTTTTTGTTGTCGCTTTCGAACTCATTCGATCGAAAAATTGGACCATAAAAGCTGTCTTGAACTGTCTTCTCCAACTTCTCAAAGGTTAACATACTGATTTTAAATTGATCCACGTTTAATTAGGGTTCTTTCACAATATCTCACAGAGTTAAACCAGGTCTTCCAATGGCTATGTTCCAAACAAAGTTCAGCGATAATTCAATCTGCGAAATGAAAAACAGTGCTCGAAAGAAGCCGAATATGTTAAAAAATAATCTTTTGGAATCGACAACACAGTGTTACGCCCTCCAGCAACTACGACGGATTTGACTAGGCATTTCCGCTTAAATTCCCAAATGAAAACTAGCCTGGGTATTGTTGTATCGAATTTCCTTGTCGCGGTTAGATAATTATTTGTCTGCTTCTGAAGCTTTGTGCCAAACATCACAGCAGAGCGGAATTTTTGCTTTCCCTTGTGGAAAGTGGTCTCAGCATTAGATTTAAGCATGGAATTTTTCCAGACTTATTGACTGGGAGGTAATCAGCTGAGATCTGTCGCTTTTGTCGTTTGTTTTGTAATGTAAATCTGCGTCAGACGCGACGCGATCGTATGAATCTTTCTTCAATATCGTCGATTATTGTGTGCGCACGCGTACTGGGCTGATTTCCTACTGCGAAAGCAAAATAAGACGGAGTGTTTTTTGTCCACTATAAGTTGGCCCGCTTTCGCGGAACAAGCTCCGTACAGGTAAATATTGCTCTGTAGTTGTCTTCTTTATTTTTCGGTTAGAGTAATGTGTATGTACGTAAAGTGCTCCGCGCGATGCCTCACTCATAATTTCTGAAACTCTGCTGAGGAGTTTGCAAAGATGGCTGGTTGGCTGGTGTGTCACCCGAGATGCGAGTTGAAGACAACGTGACGACCAAGTCATTCGCCACCGAACCTCAGCGCGTCGAACTGGCAAACAAACACGCAACTTTAGCATCTTCATTATTTGAAGATTTCTAGTGATTCAATGGAATGATTACCACTGTTATTAGAGCCTTTAAGGACATCTTTTCATACGCAGATTTAATCGCCCATTTTTGAGTTAACTGAAATGGAAACGTGACGAAACGTCCTTGCGAATTCCATCATATTGAACCCTAGATTTAACAATAAGTTGTCTCTCGGTCGTTTCGCCTGTTATTCAAGGTAGCTAGTAGTTCTCATTGATTCAGGAGCGAGAGTTATTTGTGAAGGTGGAGCAAAATAACGACAATTTAACACAGCGTTTTATGTCGATTCAGAGACATAATCCGGGCGCGCATGCATTGCTAAAATCGAAAACGAACGATTACATTAAATATGAAGGGAATCGTCAAAACTGGGAAGACCAAAGCCGAGGATTATACTATTCCGACCTAAAAATTACAAACTGCAACTGAATCACTGAAATTTAGCAAAACGCTAACGGCGTTATTGTATCCCTGCAACATGTCACCGACTATAAATTCATGTGCGCCCATCAGCTTATTTGCACATCGTATTGTATTTCCTGGCTTGTCTTGCGAGAACAAATTTACTTGTATTAGCTTCAAAAGAATAAAATACGTTTGGATCGGGAAGTCGTACAAAAGTACAGATTGTTGATGCAGACGTTTGTGCGTGTTCGTCTGCTCAAGGTTGTAAGTTTCGCCGAAACAAACACCGCTCGGCTTCTCATTTGACTCCGTAAGTGGCACATTTTCAACGCGTGTTTTCGAAGTCCACGCTCGACTGGGCATGTAAGAGTGAATAAATTTGCAACTCGCCGAAGCGATTTGTTTTACCGCCTACCTTTTCTCTCGCTTATTTCAAACATCACTGACTTCGGACTTTCGATTTTGAAAGGTTTTATCTTTCCGCGAGACGCTTGTTTTGTTTCAGATCACGCTACCACGTTTCGAAAGGGATATAGGCTTCTTCTTATAAAGATTGTCAGAATTAATTAATATTCATAGGGTTGTTCCAAGCAGATTGTTTGTCTTCAATTCATCATTGAAGGCAGTGTTTTATCGTGTGGATTTTGCGTAATTTAACTTGGGATCTCTGCGGATGAAAACCATTTCGGTGTATTTTTTTTATAAAAATCGTTATTTTTCTTGTCAAAGAGGTTAGGAGGATAAAGTACATGGAGAGCACGACCTGAAAGATTTAATCTTCCTGTGTAATAATCTTGTAGAAAACTGAAACAATGTTCATGTTTTGTGATATGAAGGCTATTTTCAATGAAATTTTGGATTAGATATTTAATGCAAAAATATTGAAAAAAATTAAGTTAACTACTTTTCAGAAACATGTGCCAAATTTTATTGTTCAAATTTACATGCTGGAACAATCTGTTTCTAAAAGCTAAAGTTAGAAGACCTAACAATTTCCAATACAATTTTCAAAGCATTTGAGTTCGTTTCTTGTGAATAGTTATTTGCAATACAATGTAGATGCCATTAATTTTGCTCTGTTGAGTTATAAAGTAAAGTGAACCTTAATTTGGACAGTAATTTTTATTTTAAACAAAACTTTATGAGTTGAATAAATATATAATTTTGTGCCCATAAGATGTTGTTAGAGTAGATAATGTTAGTAGTAACAGTTTGTTTTACTGCTGAACCAATGAATTATATTCTGTATGCTGACTGGTGTATTTCCTTGTTATGTTAACATATTCATTTCTATCCTCTGCAGCCGCTGTTTTGTTAAACACCTTTTCCCATACAATTAAAATGATGGGTTTTTTATTGTACTTTGCACAGTTAATATTTTTTAATGACAGTTATTTGGCAAGATAAACTAAGACAGCCTACCATGGAGACAGCTGAGACAGCCTACCATACAGTTTTTTATTGGAAAAACACGAAATATTAAGTTACAATTTATAACTTCTGTTGTGAATCATTTTTATGGCATGCCAGATGTAATATTTTCTTTCTGTGTGATAAGTAAGTCTGATCAAAGAATTATTTTTATAACTATGAATCCTACCTTGTCTGCTAAAAGTGTTTCTACTAAAATGAGTGATTCAGTATTTTCCATGTGATTGAAGAATCAGGAAAATTGAGCCCATATCATTTGTAGCATTTAAGGCTGCATATAATCATTGTTATAGGGTGTGATATTTTTTTAGTATATTATATTTTTTTATGTATGTACACTGGTCATATTGACCAGAGGCAGGTTAGATATTAGTTTTGTCTAGTATGTACTTGTAACTGCAATGAAGTAACTCACAGTTGTCATTTTTTGACCACTGAGTATTCATCTATAATCTACTCCTTTTAGTTAGAGATTTCAAAGATAATTGTATGTTTGTAGCCTGCCAAGTACAGTTGAATGCTTCTCAACCATTTTCTCAAGAGTTCTGCTCCAAACTGAAGTATTTAATGCTTCAAATTAAAGTTAAGATAAAACCAAAGGTATAATTATACAGTTGAATATTTTAAAATATAATTACTGCATGTGAAAAAAAATGTTTTTGACAATAGGCTTAGTTAACAACCCGGAAAAAAGCATTTTGTATGACTGGAATTTTAGTAATTTTTCATCCAAGACATTGTCATATATATTTG